CCTTTCTATTCAGATATCATTGCTGTAATTAGACAGTGTATCAGACAGATTGAAGAGCTGACTTCTTCTGAGATCAAAGAACTGTTGGCTCAGACCAACACAATTTGTTTTTTTTCAGAATCAAAACCATCCTTTAAAATGCTCTGAATTTCAAACTTTAAAAGCATTATTAAAAATGTATAAAGCTGGCTCACAGTGAGAATATTGTGTACTTACTTTGATAACAAAATGAAAAAGAAAATCACCATGTTATTAAAAGTGGGAAAATAAACTGCACAAATGCTGTGATCTCCAGTTTGTCCCATTTGGCCTGGCTACTGAACTTCCACCACTGCTGATGTAGGGCATCAGTGTGCTGTAGAGACGAGGGACCAAGAGAAGCCAAAGGAGACACAGAAAGGAGATAACAAATCAGAGGCTTAGTCGAGGTTAAAGGGAAAATGAATTGGCTATCAGACATCAGTGCAGAATATTGACCTCTTTTCTGTAATCTGTGCAGCACCTTATACTTTTTATTTTGACTTCTGGTTTTTATCTGCAGCCAGCTTACTATGTAATGGTTTTTATCTCCATGCTTTAAGTTAAATAAAATAAAAATGCTGACTGCCTAGTTAGGCCTGAGACAATCATTATATCCGTTTTAATATGGACGTCTGCAGGTTTATGGGTCTCACTGGCACTGAAAGAGCCCAGGGCACTGTGGATTACAGGGATAGGTATGCAAATTCCTCTACAGTGCCTTGAGGAGAGTCTGTTGGAGTGCATGTGTGGAATTATTCATTAAAAAAACTCAGACCTTGCTGGATGAATCAGGCAGTAATCTGAAGTAACTCAAACTCCTCCTTAGCACCATGGATAGACAGAGAGAATCCTATGTTTGAAACCAAATTTCACATGATGCCTAATCAAAAAAAGCAGCAACATTTCTAGCTAAATATAACACAAAGTTATTTAAGCATTAGTGATAGGGAAGTGGTTTTAGACCCCTCAAAGGAGACAGTGATACAGGGTTTCTAAAACATCTAATTTTCCTCATGGACATTAAAACTAATGTCCACTAAAATCTAAGAATATGTTCTGGTATGTGCCGGGGCTTAATTAGTTCATGCATACACAATCTGTGACCACTATCTAACAAAGGTTTTCTTTGTGGGTTTTAGGAACTACAGTTTTACAGAATCATTTTGTAACTCATTCTTCACCAGAGAAGCTCCAATAAATAGTCCAATTCAAACCCATGATTCTGTCCAATAATCTGCATGAACCTAATGATGCTCTCACTTTTATATTCTTAGCTTTCATTCATTTGAGACTGCTGTTACAGCTACAGAAAAGTACCTTGTAGTCGGCATTCAAAGAAGCTTAAGCTTAACCTGCAGGTTTTAGCACATTACTGCAAAACAAAAACAAAAACACACGACTTATGTAATTAAGATTTAATTTCCCTTCCCCTTAAACACCTTTCATGCTCCGCTGCTTGTTTCTCTCCGTCTCCTTTAAAGACAAATTGAGCAGTTAACTTAAATGTCTTTTAAACGTCAATACCATTAAATAAAACTTCCATCCTGAAGAGAAATGTCTGTTCATTAAAACAGAGTATCTCAGCGTTGGCTTGGAGGAGAGAAGTGAAGCACAAGTGGATTTATTCACATCAGCCTCAAAAAGCAGGTTTAACCTGCAGCGCTGTGTCAACCTGAAAGGGATAACAGAGATCTATGGTGTTACTCCTGCTGCCCTATCCTATAAAACACTTGTTGCTTTTTAGGATATGTAAAAAGTTCCTATTCTTCGTGAATTACAAACAATATACAGTAATTGTGAGCTATGGATAGCAAACATCGAAAAATAAAGCAGTTTACATTCATAAAATATGGACCTCAATTCAATTCAATTAAATTCAAAAAACTTTATTTGTCCCCGGGAGGCAATTCAAAGGCACACAGAGCAGTAAATTAACAACAGTGCAAGTAAACAAAACATTTTAACATATTTTTATATATTAACAAATGTAAAAACCTCAATAAGTTACAACACATTAGAGGTGTTAGGTAATTATCTAACTTGAATAATGAATGATTTCCTCCCAGTTGAATTTCCAGGACTCACTGCAAGCGTCCTTGTTTCGGGATGTGCCCGTGCCCTCCCTGACTGGCTGCCTGCCTCATCAGAGCCGACACTACAAGCACAAGAGAGTCAGCAGCCATATGCCCCATGCCAACGCTCTCTGCCACTTCCACATTGCTGCCAGCATCAACCCTGCCACTGGTGCGACTCTTGTTGATCCTTGTTACCAGTATTGTATGAGCTTCGAATAAACTATCAATATTTTTGCACATAAAAAAACAGGTACAGGATAAGTGCTTAAAGTAGCCATCATTTAAATCACCAATTATTTATTCACAGGCTATGGCAACCTAAAGCCTGGCTCACACTGTAGGATATTACGAGCTCCGATTCTTCCTTCCCGACAATCGCAGGGTCGCTCCTGACTCAAGGCTGCTCGGACCCGATTATCTGCTCAGATTATCTTGTAGTGTGAGCGTTGCAAAGATCCAACCTTAAAGTCAGGGACGCTCCAAATCATTTCAAACATGTTTAATATTTAGAATTTAAAATCTCGACTTTACGTCATGAAAGGGTCCGGCAGAAGTTGTGTGTGACTACAATATAATCACGAGAGACAAGGGAGGACTGTAGTCATGGCGACCAGCGGCAGGACGCAACCCGGCGTTTTTTTTTGTTTTTTTTAACTTTTCCGTACAGATCATCAGTGCAGCACTTATCTGAAACTTGTATCCATATATCTACAATTGTATCAATTTTTCTATATCCTACAACAAGTTCCACTTCCTTCTCTTTCACCGACCGTCGTCCTTTGTTTTTTTTTCAAATGAAACTTTGTTAACAATTGTCAATGCTCAGTCCCGATTTCACTCGTACAGTGTGAGCTCTCTGGTAAACGATTCAGCTGACATGCCACCTCGACGTTTATACAATCGGGGGAAAATCGCACAGTGTGACCCAGGCTTAATAGGTAATTTGCTTCACCTCTGCATTCTAACAAAATGAACAAAATGTTGTAAATCGTAATACATTGCCTGAGGATGTTTATTTAACATCTAACTGAGTGTTGGTGCTCAGTGAGGCTGTCCAGAGTAATTGTAGGGCATTTTTTATTTTGTTCCTGTAAGTGTTTTTTGACCTAAATCAGGGCAAAATGTTGTGGATTCTTTGAGGCTTCAGGCTGAGAAGCCTTGGAGGACATTATTTGAATACATGAATTATGTTTTGGATAACTTCAAAACATTGTCTGAATCATGAAAGTTACATCGCTACAGCTGCTGTCTTTTGCCCTGCATGCCCCTTACATGAAATAATGTTGTTTGTCTTTGCTCATTTTTTTCCAAACACTGCATGGTCTTTGTCACAGACATTCCTCTGCTGCCCTCAATCTCCTCTCTGAGTGGTGTCGATGACGAGGAAGCTGGAGGTCCTTTCACTGTCCACTGGCTCAACAACAAAGAGCTTCATTTCACATTAGCTATGGAAGTCTTCCTGCAGCAAGTCCGAGGCAGCATGGAGCAACAGAGCGAAGGCTCCAATGAAGGTGCAGAAATATTTTGTGATCACACATGAACACTTTATTAAAGGGGCATATGAAGCTGGAATTTCACAGCTAAAAACTTGAATGTGACTTTCCTAAACCACAAGTCAACATTTGTACATATTGCACTGTGTTAATCCTTTCTTTCTATTTTTCATTTACATCTTGGCACTGTGTTTTCCTTTCTCCTCCAGAACCTGAAGATGAAGATAACTTTGATGAAGAAGATCATGGTAGCAGGCCAGATGACGACCAGGGACCAGATGCCATGGAGCTTCCTCTGGCGGCGGTGAAGCACCAGGTGGACGTGCTGTTGGAGGAGTGGAATAAAGGGGCAGACATGTTGTTCAGCATCCATCCCATGGACGGCTCCTTGTTAGTCTGGCATGTGGACTGGTTGGATGAATACCAGCCAGGCATGTTCAGACAAACTCAAGGTATGTTCAATATTTATCGGTATGGTGTTTTTTGTTTATACAAAACGGTGGAAGTTGATGATGAGTTTTGTAATCTCCTATAAACCCTTTGTTTTTGTTTTTCCTTTTTTTTTTTGTTCCCAAAGTGTTGATGAAATAAATACACCCAAGCAGAAGTTTTATGAAGGAAAACTGCATAAAAGCAAATACTTTTTTTTTTTTTTTTTAAAAGAACAACACATATTTATTCTCAACTATTATTTAGGACATGATATAATAACAATTATTACAGGTCATTCAAACAGCTACTTCTGTTCCGCAAGGCATGTTGAATATGCCAGATATTATTCAGGATTAAGGAGCACTCGTTGGACCTGTTAACTGCACATTTTGAATAAGAGTCTCACTTTGGGCTTTTTACAGCTGTTTACATCACACAGCACCTTGTTTGTTAGAAAACACACAGCCTACAGTTTGCAAGGCTGAAGTAGAGGTCCAGAGGCACACACCAAAGCCTACATTCTGCTCTGAAGAATATACACGCATGCCTTCAAATGATTATGTTCAAACACACCGCCTATGATAGCAACACGTTTTTTGATGGGGAAAAATATTGAGTTAGAGTGAACCAATGTTGAAAACATGTTACTTGAAAGAAAGAGGCTGTCTTCACATGGTCTTTCTTTGACTTGCATCATAACTCTTATTGGTGTTTCTTTTTCACAGCTTTTGAACATTCACACCATTTGAACAGTCATATGAGTTAATGATTTATTCTGATAAGCTATGTAAACTGCTTACTACAAACTAGGAATAATAGGTTTTACAGGTTAAGTCCAAAAACATATTTTTTGTGAATTCAATCTTGGTCACCATAAATTAAAAAAAACTTGGTAAGTAACTTGTCTGTTTTCACAGCTTTAAGAACTGCTTTTCAGGGAAAAATAATTGTCTCATCTCACAGGTTGTGAATCAGCTTAGAAGCTGTAATGGTCTACCTCCCTTTCTAATGGTTTCTTAGCCAGCCGTTCACACTATTTTATTCGTGCCACTTTAGAATCAAATTCAAAGCCCCTTTGATGAATTTCTATTAGAACTGAAATAAAAAAAGAACCCTTCAACTTGGCAGTTAATCAATTAAACATTGCAGCTTAAAGAATCCCCAGTTTAATTGACATTCACAGTGATACTACCTTCCTGTTTTAATTAGGGAAAAAATTGACGGGATCCGGGTGTTATTAAGATCAGGTTGAATTCCTGAGTATTATTATTTTTTTAGCTTAAAAAGAAGAAGTCCTCACTGTCAAAGTGTCCCCTTTCTTTTCAGAAAATCCTTGGTCACGCCTGTTCCTGATAGCCATATAGATGAATGTCAGCCATTTCTTTTGAGAAACATTTAGTAAAATTAGATTAAGAATCTTCTGTGTCAAATCTGTATTAAGAGCTGATATAGATTTCATTGCTATAATGTCTCCCTTTCTCTCTTAGGTGTCGTTTGTGTCCCGTATCCCTGTAGCGTTCCCTACAGGAGATGCAATCTCCCTCAGCCACAGTGTGGTCATGTATGCCTGCAACAAGAATGTGGATCTGGCAATCCAACATGGCAGACAGAGACCGCCTGGGAGCACATTGCCTCAAGCCAAATCTGCTCTAATAAGCTACGGAGGGCAAGGAAAAGCTGCACCCGGCAGTAGTCTGCGTCTGAGCATTTTTACCCCCAACGTCCTTATGATCTCCAAACATGCCGATGGCTCCCTGAACCAGTGGGCCGTTAGCTTTGCAGAGGATTCTGCTTTCTCCACTGTGCTCAGCGTCTCGCACAAGTCACGGTACTGTGGTCACCGCTTCCACCTCAATGACCTGGCCTGTCACTCAGTGCTCCCTCTCCTCCTCACCACCTCACACCACAACGCCTTGAAGACACCCGATGTAGACAGCATCCTGGCTGCTCCAGAGGCCTGCCCTTCTGGTTTCCCTCATTCAACATCTTTACCCCATCAGTCAAGGTCCAGCAGAGGGTCCCTGGGTGTTGTATCCCAGGATCCCAATGCCATCTACAGTGAGCTGATTTTATGGAGAGTGGACCCTGTGGGCCCACTGTCTTTGTCCGGTGGGGTTTCTGAACTAGCTCGGATTAATTCTCTCCACGCATCAGCCTTTGCTAATGTAGCCTGGCTGCCCACTCTCATTCCAAGCAGCTGTTTAGGTGAGTAGATGTTTTCGGTGATTCCTGATACCTTTTATGCTCTGTTGCCATAACAACCACACATCTTAGTTTGTCCTTACTTAATATGAATAAACTGCAGTTATCTTTTTTTGAATAAAGACCGAATGAGATTAGATAAGAGCTCTTTTGAAAATAGTTTATTTCATCTGAGATTTAAAGTATCCAAAATATACTTGCCTAAATTATTGTTTCCAGATTGAAAATGTGAACATAGTTTATATGATTTGTAAATAAATAAATAATCCGCCACTCACTGAAAATGACTTTACTGTGACTTTACTGTGAGTGAACAAAGTCATTTGTCTGTAGCTTCCTGGGGTTTGCCTTTCATAATCAAATGGGCATACACAAGTGTGTTAAATACATATGATGATGTAACCGATCATCCCATGTGAAAGGCAATTCATTTACGATATAATAGTCACAGTAAAATCATCTTCAGTGTGCAGCCTATTACTCATTTTCTTTTTTTGTATTCCTGCAACCATCTGGCACCTGAAACATTGGTTTGCCGTGCCTGGGGAATACTGTTGATAGTTTATGTGGTTTGAATTTGAAAGGATTGTTTGATATGTATTCCATATGTTGTTGTTTTTTTTAATAAGCAGCTTTGCAAACACAATTGTTTCTTCTCTCTTTAGGTGCGTACTGTAACTCTCCCAGCGCATGCTTTGTGGCAAGTGATGGCCACTCACTCAGGCTGTATCAGGCTGTTATTGAAGCAAAGAAACTCCTGAGTGAGCTTTCCAACCCGGAGATATCAGTAAGTCATCAAACAGGACGCTCAAACTGCACCAAACCCTGCAGAGTACAGTCAGCATGGCAAATGTATTTTACTGACACACCAATAACAACACATCAGGCTTTTCCCGGGGCCCTTGCAGAATCATTGAGATAATAAGGTGTCATTTGCAGCCTTGCCAAGTGATTACTGTCCTCTCTGGTTGACTTGTTAAATGACACATGAGCACAATAAGAGTGTGTGAGAAATAAAAGAATTGGCAGTTTTTCATCTGACCCAATCTATCAGATGTGAACTCAGTGAAAATTGAAATAATATCTAGTTATTATTATCGTATTATTTTATAGAGATTATTTCAACTGACAATAATAGAATATTCTTCCTTGCATTGCATTGACATTAATAATCATACCTTTATTTTTCAACTTTCTGAAATAGATTTGACGCATCTACCAATGTATTTGTTTTGACTTTATAACAGTGTAATGGAATGTTTCTCAAGTAATTTGAAAATAATGCTGTTTTTTTTCCTCTTAGAAATATGTTGGGGAGGTCTTCAACATCATCAGTCAGCAATCTACAGCTAAACCTGGGTGTATAATAGAGCTTGATGCCATCACTGGATTTGTAAGTATCTGTAAAGAACAGTATTGAATTTAAGGTTTCCTATGATCACTCCCTCTCTCTCTGATAATGGTCTCTGTCATAGACACTGTAAATATAAATTAACATAAACTTCTCCCTTGAAATAATGGATCAAATCACTGTAACGCTGTGCTATGTTGGAGTTTAAGAGCATTTGTGTTATGAAACATTTTGCGGTAGAGCCTTGGTGAAATGTCAACCATGATAAAACAAAGACGGGTGCAGAGCAAACCTTCTCTCATTCCCTAAGGCTGTTATATTTTTTTCACGCATGCACGTGTGTGTGTGCACGCTCGTGTTCACATCATTTATATCAGTTTGTCTGTGTGTTGGCCCCGCAGCAGATGAAGCATGTTGTTAAGTGTCTGCAGCTGATGTAGTTTGATAAAAGCTGCTGTTATTCTCTGCAGCAGGGGAAGGAGACCCAGCTCCTGCATGTTTTTGAAGAGGATCTGATCCTCGGCAGTGAGAGAACAGAAAGCAAATGGGAAACTCCTGATCTTCCTAATACTGGTATTGACTAAATACTTTCATCTAACACAGTGCTTTAACATTTGCACCACCTCCATATATTGATTGGCACACTGTTTATTAATATTCTGTGTGTGTGTGTGTGTGTGTGTGTGTGTGTGTGTGTGTGTGTGTGTGTGTGTGTGTGTGTGTGTGTGTGTGTGTGTGTGTTGTGTGTGTGTGTTGTGTGTTGTGTGTGTGTGTGTTGTGTGTGTGTGGTGTGTGTGTGTGTGTGTGTGTGTGTGTGTGTGTGTGTGTGTGTGTGGTGTGTGTGTGTGTGTGTGTGTGTGTGTGTGTGTGTTGTGGTGTGTGTGTGTGTGTGTGTGTGTGTGTGTGTGTGTGTGTGTGTGTGTTGTGTGTGTGTGTGTGTGTGTGTGTGTGTGTGTGTGTGTGTGTGTGTGTGTGTGTGTGTGTGTGTGTGTGTTCCCCTGCAGGCTCTTGTGAGCCAGCCTTCTCAGCACGTTTTTTCCTTGTGGTGGTTGAATTGACCCCGACAGGCCGCTCACTCCTCCACATGTGGCATCTCTATATTGCTGCTCTCCCCGTCACCATGGGTGGGTATTTTTAACAAAGACGTCACTGTATGAAAAGATTGATTCACGGCCACAATCAATACAGAAAAAGGAACTTATTAAGATACCAGCTAATAAATTATGTTATAGAAAAAAATATTGTTTTTGTGCCCTTGGAGCTTATCAAACACTGTTCAGAAAATATTCTGCTAACTGAATTCCCTAGCATGGTAGTTCAACCAGTGAAGAAATATGTGTATAGAGTCTTTCAAGCTTTTATTAACATTTTCTCTTCCTTTTGTGTCCCCACAGATGAGACCTCGTCAGCGACTAATGCCACGCCGGCTTCTCCTTTGAACAGCTCCAGGTTTAGCTATGACATGTTCACTTCCCCAGTAGCTCAGAAAAGTAAACCCTGCACTTCCAATCTGCAGAGCGCCTGCCGCCTTAGCCTCACAACTCACAAGCTGTACAGCAAAGAGATGGCTCTGCCTGAGGGAGTGGAAGCCATCAGAGTTACACCCTCAGCAGGTGAGGGACTACGAGGACACGAATGAGGGCCAACATCACAGCTTGAGGGACAAGTACATAGTCCCTAAGGAAAGAAAAATAGGCATTCCATGTACAATAAAGGGAGAATCATGATGGCAGCAGTAGTAGCAACAAAACAACTATAGTCCTAATTACAGCAAAATGATGACTTTAAAAAATTGTGATAACAGATTTAAAACGGCATCGACAGTGCAAGATCATCAGTCTCATCGAAAGAAATATAAAGACACTGAGAAACCGACGACATATGTATTAACTAGGGTATAGAGTAAATGATGTTGCTGTGGAAACTTAAGAAATGGCACTTCTGTCAGTAAATGATTGACAACATTGATTGAAATAACCTTTTCTGGAAAATGTTGATATTTCTTTATTGACTGAGAAGAAGGTTTTTTTCCATTATAGAAAGGCTGACAAAGAAAATAATTATTTCATCCCCTTTGCTACTAAAATGATTAATGGTTATAAAAAGTGTTGGATTTTAGTTTGTCAATATATCAGGACTATATCAACTCCTATTTTCACTATCTTTTGCAGAAAATGCTTTTTCTCTTAAGTCTTCAATGAATTTGGCTGGTTGCCTGCTGTGATACGCCTATTCTGCATATTTATAAAAAATAAACTCTTTAAAATTGACAATAATGTTCAAATGAATTCAAAGAACTTTACAAAAATAAAGCCTTAAAAGCCTGATTGTGTTTTGTCATCTCTCTTCTAGGTCACCTGAGCGCGTCATGTTCTCTGCCAGCCGGCCGTGTGCCTTACCTCCTTGCTACTTCCTGTTCTGATGGAACTGTCCGCTTCTGGCGATGTAATGTCAGTTCACCGAAGCCTTCTGGTGTAAAGGACTTGGTGTACCAGTGGGAGGAGTGGCCTCTTCTGGTGGAAGAGGGGCTTCCTAACAGCAGCGCAGTGAGCGTGCACGGTCGCCCCGTGGAGGTTAGCTGCTGCCACACGGGACAGATTGCAGTTGCTTACAGGCAGACTCCAAACACCCCTCTGAGCTCAACACCTTATCTGAACTCTCACGCACTGTTGACTTCTCCTCCCTCTCTATCCTCCACCCCTTATTTACATTACAACAACAATGCCCACCTGACCCCAACCCTGACTGTACAACGCAGCCCTAACCTCACTCCATGTCCCAACCCAGCAAAAGCGAGAGAACCATCGTTCCACATCACCATCTTTCAGTGCGAGTCTACAGCAGGCTCACAGTGGATTTTGGATCAGACCTTAGTCCTGGACAGCACAGATGGAATGAGTAGCAGCATAAGTAACACAGACTTCTCTAATGAGAACTGTCCTGGCTCTAGTAATAAGAGCCTGGTTCATTTGGACTGGGTCTCACAGGAAAATGGCTCACATGTTCTCACTGTTGGTATTGGGACGAAGATTTATATGTACGGTCGTCTCTCTGGGAAACCTCCAGAACTGGGCCTGTCATCTGACGCCAGTAGAGACCAGCGCTCATCCCGCTTGGTTCTGCTGCGGTCAGTCGATCTGGTCTCCTCTGTTGAAGGCTCTTTACCTATTCCAGTCTCCCTCTCCTGGGTCCGAGATGGCATCTTGGTTGTTGGCATGGACTGTGAGATGCACGTCTACTCACAGTGGCAACCCCCAACACCGCCAAAACCCAACACCACAACCGGCCAAGACACAGACATCAGCAGCAGCGTGTCCTCCATAATCTCAGCAGTCAGACAGAGCCAGGAAGACGCCTTCAGTAACGGGGCCCCCATGTCTCTGCTTGCCCCTCCCAAAAAGGCCCTGACCAGATCGATGATGAGCCTGGCTCAGAAACTCAGCGGGAAGAGAACAGCTTACGACCTGCCGGTAGAGATGGAAGACTCGGGGCTTTTCGAAGCGGCTCACCAGCTCTTTCCCACGCTGCCTCAGTACCATCCTGTACAGTTACTTGAGCTCATGGATCTAGGGAAGGTAAATAAATTCACCTGTTTAACTTTGCAACTTGTATTCTCCTGTTGATATGACAGCCAGTTATGTCACTTGATATAATTTGATGTTTAAAGTTGAAGTAAAAAAAAACGAAGAAGCATTTTCAAGGGAATAAAACTGGAATAAAACCATCACTCCTGTCTCATATCTTCAGGTTTATCGTGCCAAGGCCATCCTGTCCCATCTGGTGAAATGCATTGCTGGGGAAATTGTGACACTTAAAGACAGTACCGCCAACCCAGAGAAAAGGGTGCGCTCTCGAACTATCAGTGCCGGAGGCAGTACAGCCAGGGACCGCAAGATGTTCAACAAAGCAGGGAACTCTACCCTGACTACACGGAGATCAGCTCCATCCTCCTCTGCCTCTGTACTCTCTCCTGGCTGCTGATGAGGACACATTAAAAAACCTGGTGGGTATACAGCACAAGAAATGGCTTTAGAATAGCATTGTACAGTCACCTATAAATAATAGTAAATGTTTTTTCTGTATGTACGGTAGGTCAAATATGGTAAGTTTCCTTCAGGAACATGTTCAAACATAACACTTTAAATTAATATACTCTTCACTGGGGATGCAAAGGCACCACCTTGGGTGTTTTATTTATTATATATATATATATTTCTCTGCAAGTAGTAACAGGCCTAAATGGGAAGCCTGCAGTAGAAATCACATAACTTTTAAAGTCAATAAGCTCTTGTGGCTTTTTAAAATTCAGTTTATGTCATGGTTACATCTTAAGTTTGACGTTTAGACAAAACTTAAATGTCTTCTTTTTGTTTGCAAAAGGAAAAAATGTGTCTTTGACTTGTAAATATTTGCAATTGAAGTTTTAAACCATTAAATACACTTACTAAACACAATAAATTACTAATTAAAACAGACACAATAACACTGCTTTAATATAGAGCACCAAGATCTAAAGGGAAGGGGCTGTGAATAATGTAAAGTGCTTTGTACAATATGATATTTATGGGCAACTATGATGATGTGTTGCTGTGAGATGTTGGACCATACTGACCTTAACAGACTCTTCTTGTGGATACCACATTACTAAATCTATCTTAACTTGAGATAAATATTTATTTAATCACCTTTTAATTCCATTTTCAGTCAATTTTTATTTCCATTCATCTTGTTCTCTTGGGTTCTCTGTGGATACAAAGTGAGAATGAAAGCAGAATCACAAATACAGTGAAAGTATTTCCTCTCTTCTGCATTTTAATTAAATCTGCTGTCTTCCCAGCAGGGCATGACTTTTCTCCCCTACTCTTATGAAATGCGTGTCTTGTGTAATTTAGCTTGGTCTTTTGCTCTTCTTCAGATAAAGTGGGCAGTGTCAGTGGAGATAGTGGGCATGGTTCCAGTCACACCGATGCTTACGATGAGCTCTTTCAAACTCCCAGCATGGCGGACCTGGACCCTCTGGATAATGATCAGGAGGAAGCAGGAAACAAGGTCCGTTTTTTTTTTTTTGGCTTGGGATAAAAGGAAATCCTCAGAATTAGAGTGGACTGAAACATTTAGTCTCTTTTTGATTTTTCATTTCTTGACCAGACTTGCATAAAAGTGCATTTCAAAATGTGTTTTCATATATGGGTGCCATTAAAATAGACTATTCAAAGCTAAGGATGACCCCATTTCATGCAATAAAATCTAGACTGGTGTTGGCAAAGTCTCAAAATGTGATATTATGCGTTTCGTTGTGTTTGAGACCAGCTTCTGTATTATGTCCTGTCTTAGGAATGAGAAACTTAACACTTAATTAAACAGACTTTCCTCTTTACTGTGTCTTCTCTGTAGGTTATTGACCTGTCCCAGTACAGTCCAACATACTTTGGTCCAGAACATGCACAGGTTTTGTCCAGTCACCTCCTTCATTCCAGTTTGCCAGGCTTAACCAGCTTGGAGCAGATGTCTCTGATGGCGTTGGCTGACACTATCGCCACCACAAGCACTGACTTCAAGGACAGCCAAGGCACCAGCAAAGGTAAAGATGGGAAATCACAACAAATAATAAAGGTATTCAAATGGATAGAAATGCAGAATACATTTGCCTTTGTTATTTGTCCTGAAATGGAGCTGTTTATTCATTTACCAGGTGGAGAGACACTGGATGAGTGTGGTCTGAAGTTTTTGCTGGCCGTCAGACTCCATACCTTTCTCTCTACCTCCCTGCCTCCAGCTCACAGAGTGCAGCTTCTACGACAAGGTACAGCGGGGACGTATTCAAAGTGTCTTGTAACTGTTGCATACAAGCAGGGAATACTGTGACACTGAAGAGGGCTACTGTCATTTTTTTCTTGTCCAACATGACCAAAATTCACAGAAAGACTTGTGTTTCGAAAGTGATGGCACAGGGAGACATTTTTTCTACCTTTAAAATAAACTGCACAACTGCTTTCTCGCTGTGTCAGAAGCTTTTCAGTCCCCTCTGTAAGACACAGCTAGCATGTCAGCATAGGTATCAGAGCGGTCAATGTGAAGTCTCCCACAGCTTAAGAGATGCTGTTCTCAGTTATACATATTGAACAGTAAGAGTCATAAGCAGATAAAGCAAAGGCCATTAAACATACTTTACTATTACAGTAAAGTTTCCTTTGAGAAAGGCATGTAATCTTTACCTGGTGCCTTTAAAAACCCTGACCAGCACTACAACACAACCTCAGTACTTATTATGTCATTAAATGCCTATTAGAAATCCCTGTATTCTGTCAGTATTCTCCCAGTGATACAATGAGATTTTGATGATTGAAGACCATCATGTTCTGCTCTCTACAGGCCTGTCAACGTGTCATTATGCCTGGGCCTTTCACTCTGAAGCCGAGGAGGAGCTGCTGAACATGCTGCCTGCTTTACAGAAAGGAGAGCCCACCTGGCCAGAGCTGCGCTCCATGGGTGTGGGCTGGTGGCTACGCAGCACCAACAAGCTGCGCAGGTGTATTGAGAAGGTGAGGAGACAATTAGCTATAATAATAGATTCTCTGCTCATGATCTGCAAATAGTCTAATTTTGAAGTGAGTACTAAATCAGTGCAAAAGAGGAAGTGCATCCGAAAAGAAAAGCCAATACCTCTGTGGAGAGTTGTTCAAGATTCATTTTGTATTCATGTTAGATATAGTAGTCCTGTTTTTTTATCATCAAATGCAAATTTTTAGATTGTTTGGGGACTTAATGTTACACAGTGAAGGGCTTTCATACGTTCCTGAAACAGCAGTTCAAAGTCAATCGACAAAAAAATGGAAACAAGCGGCTGTAACAAGATGAGTTGCTGCTTTTTGGGGGGTTATTTGGATTAAATGAAAATCTTTGTGTTTTTGTGTAAATCAAGGTCTGACACAAAACATAGACTGCACACATTTCAGCTGAATTGCAAACTTTAAACTAATCACATTAAAGATGCTATAGTTACATGAAAA